TAAGGCTTTACTCTTGCGTTCATGAAATTCCACTTGTCTACTAAGTATATGATATATTTCCTATCTACATTTCCCAATTTCAAATCAGCGTTTTATACATAAATCTAAACTTAGAGAACACATGCTTCCCTAGTTCATTCACAATAACTCTTGTTTTGTCCGGGATCAAATTCACTACTTCTTGCTTACATTTACAGAGTGCGAAGGCAAAGCTGGTGTCAATAGTACTATCAATCCTGTTTGGTATTACTATCATAGTAGCCTTTACATCTTCGGATATTTTGGCACACAGCACTCTGGGCCTGTGCGTAAGTGTAGGTATGTGGACTGTGCTTCGCATATACGCGCGCGCGTGTGTGTGTGTGTGTGTGTGTGTGTGTGTGTGTGTGTGTGTGTGTGTGTGTGTGTGTGTGTGTGTGTGTGTGTGTGTGTGTGTGTGTGTGTTTGTGTTTGTGTGTCTGTGTGTGTGTGTATATATATATATATATATATATATATATATATATATATAGAGAGAGAGAGAGAGAGAGAGAGAGAGAGAGAGAGAGAGAGATACATATATACATATACATATATTGATATATATTTACATATATCTATATAAATATATATATACATATATTTATAAATTACACACACACACACACACACACACACACACACACACACACACACACACACACACACACACACACACACACACACACACACACACATGTATATCTTTATATATTAATATATATCTCACACATACGTACATACATACATGATATATACACGTTTATACATGCTGTATATATTAATATATATATATATATATATATATATATATATATATACACAAACACACACACACACACACACGTGTGCAAGATATAAACACACACACACTCATGCGTGCGTGCGATATGTGCGTTCCTGAATGCACACACACACACACACACACACACACACACACACACACACACACACACACACACACACACACACACACACACACACATACATGTGTATGTTTCTATATATATATATATATATATATATATATATATATATATATATACACACATATATATACATATATATGCATACATGTATTATTATATATATTATGTATACACACATACATATATATGTGTGTTTGCGTGTATGTATTTACTTTTATTTGTTTACTTGAGAACAAAAAATTGTCAGTGTATTTTCGTAAAGGAAATCTTTTCTTTCTTATTACAGCTGTAATTGGCATCATCCTCTTCGCCAGTTACGCAATATGCAAGTATTCAGATAGAAATCCGGGCCGTGTCATTCAAAGCGGACCAATACAGACCGTCCCTCAGCAGAATACTGGTGTACCTCAATACCCAAGTGCTATTCCAACCGAGTATCCTTTGTCTCCGCAGTGCCAAAACATGGCTCCAGGTTCTCTGTCAGCCACTTATACATATACACCTTTAAATTCCTCGACAGCCGGAAGCACCAACCCGTACCATGGAAAGAAAGACTTTTATCCTCCAGGCTATCCAGGGCATACACCAACCACAGGAGCCTCATCGTCGGCTTCCTATGCCCCTTACCCACCTACAAGTGCTTCCTTCCCAAGTTCCCCTGAATATCAGCCACCGCCTTCGTTTGTACCTGGGTTCAGCCCCACGTCTTCCTATCAGCCACCTCCCTATGGACAAGTTCCTGCCACAGGTCCTACAATAGGGGTGCCATATGCTAGTGCCCCCGTATTCGATCCTCCACCTCCCTATGCTCCTCCTCCTTATGAAAAATGAAGCCTTCATGATTTTTTTTTATGAAGTAGAGTTTCTTGTTCTCAGCTAATTCTTTTCTGTTATACAATATTATATCTTAAATGACTTTCAGTAATTTTGATAACCATGCTCAAGTCCAAGTGGGTAAACACGAGATTAAACGATAGTGAATGCCCCTGGGGAGGATTCTTTTTTTCCCTGTAATATTGAGGGTTCAATTAGGTGATTTTTCTATCGTTTCTCTGTAACAGACCCAAAATTTTGCGAAGAACTTATACTTTAGTCTCAATTCTAAACAGTTTTCTTTAACCTTTTGAATATATAAGTCAGCAAATGTAGCGAATAATCATGGTAGGAGGCATTCACATGGTTACAACGTAGAGCAGTCTGAAACGATATGAAAATGAGGCAACATATGTGACTGTGACACATAGCCCATGGCACAAAACTTAAACAATATGGTACTTAACTGAAGGTATGCGTGTGTGTGTCTGTATGTTAATTCATTTATATACTAATTGATGGTATATTTTCTCATAGATCTGGAATCTAAATAACTGACAATTACAGTAACATAAGTATCTGTATTTATCCCGTATTTTATATAGGATTTCTGTAGATAGGTATGATCCTATAGGTATTATGAACATCTACTTTGTCTGATTAAATTATCTATTTTCGCGTGTTTTTCTAGCATTATCTTTCTGCTTCAAAACCAAATAAATATGTATATTATATATATA